TTGTTCCGATTGACGTGGGCACCTTCGAGCGGCGCACCTTGCCTTTCGCACCTCCGTAGTATAAAATGTATACTGATACACCCTTCCCACCAAGATACCGGCCACAATCGGTTTTACACTCTTTTTGTCTATTTAAGGCTGTAAGAGGCTATTAACGACAGCTATGAACACAGAACGCACGCTTGCACTTGGGAGGAAGAATCCATATGTATGCAGTTAAAATGCTAATGAATTGATAAGTGGTTATGACCCTGAAGCTACATGAATAGACCAACTGGAGCTCCTAGAGATTATATGTATAAAAACTACACGTACAGATTTAAAAATGTAAGAGGGCGCTGTTCACAACCAGTCTCTCAAACACAACACAAACGTTTGTGCGACAAGGAAGTGTAACGGGGATTGCCTTTCCGTGTACACACTCTTTCTAAAAAAAGCTAAGTTCAGTCGACATGCCTCACCGCGTGTTGCTCGCTCCCAGCGGGTCGTTGGCTTTCGTGAAGGGGAGGAAAGGTAAAGAAACATTAATTATTATGGCCAATAGCTTTCAGTAGCCTAACCTGATAAGTTCTTCCAGTTCTGATACAATGGAACTGATAGGGGGATATACAACTATACAGGGTGTAAATTTCATGAAAGCTACACGATGTATGTGGTCCACACAACAGGTGTGATGGGACTTGGCCCATGAAACCACCACCAATCAAAAGTGAGTTTATTCAAATTTCTAAAATTCTCTAGCTCTTCCTAAAATTATTCTTTAGTGTTTTCTTCAGTCTTTTCTTCAGTCTCTTCTTCAGACATTTCTTCAGAATTTTCTCCGACTCTATGACTCGATCAATCGTGACCCACACGAAGTTGATCGCGTCGAAGACGACTTGCGCCGACGACGAGCGCAGAGCAAAACCGCGCTTAAGTCCGAGGATGCCGTCATCAAACTTGAATAATGCTCCAATTCCACGTCAAACGGCGCTTCCGCACGGTGAGCAAAACCTGGCATCAAAGGACCAGCTTGGGCAAATGACGATTGCTGTTAATAGCCTATCGACGCTTCAGTCGTAGCGAATTTGCGCGACCGTGAAATTGAACATCGTCACAAATATTACGACCGACGTGGTGGTACTGTAAAGTTTGACAAATTTCTTTTTTCGAATGGAAGCTCGAGTGATGACTCAAACCGCGAATTTTCGCGCCATCGGACCGATCACACGTGCTGAAGGGGACTCACAAAGGCTCATTTACGTACCGTACATACAGTAATTATATCTGGATTCCGTCCAGATAATCGACACTCGATTTTGGTCATGGATTCATGGAACCAAATCCTTGGATATCCATCGCTTGCGAAACGCGAATACAACTGCAGAATTGCTGAAGATACATGATATGACATTTCGATTTGGCCATTCAACAGCACAGGATCAGGTTCACTTCGATATTGATATGGCTCAGAAGTACGTGCGGTCATTAGTCGAGTCCACAGCGACAGAGAAAAAGAAAAGAATGGAACGGATCCTGTAAGCGGAGTCCGTCTTTGGACCTGCATCAATCTCAAAAACGATACAGCAACAGTCGTGAAAAAGACAACTACGAGACTCCCAATACTCCCGTACGCTGCTTAACTTAGCCATTTCACCAAGGGCACCTTCCGACTGCAGACGATCCACTCCGCCGCCACTTTCTCGACATCGCAGTATATATTTAGTGTCGAATAAGAAGAGGGGGGGTGCCCGAAGAGGGCGTACCCTCTGCTCCTTCTGTGGCTGCTCCACAATCTTCGTCTGATTTGATTGGAGACATTTCCCGGAGTATTCGCCAAAACAATCAGCAGCCATCTGCTTGCTGTCGACGTTCCGACTCTCACGATCGTTCGTTTGTTCCCGATATTTACGTTGATCCTAGTGATTCCGAGGATAATGCTGAGGCGACGATACGAAGGGGTTCAGCTTACGACCCTCGTGCTGAAGCCGTGGCTCTGACGCCACCTTCAAATACGACTGCGTTACATCCAGAAATTGCGTCGACGCTAAAGTTGGACTTGAAGAGCCTTACGTAGAACAATGGATGTGTCCTTAGCCAGCTTCGCAGGTCGATAGCGCACGCATTCCCATGGCATGACACCACTCGGAACGAATCGATGAAGCGAGAGAATAGCTTCGAGGTTCCCAAGCTTATATCCGCATCGTCTGATAGGTTCATAGTACGAAGTTGTACATAAATCCCCAGAAAAAAACATTTTGCCTTGACGACCTCGTCTATCTGCGTATTCCTTTGCAGATCTTCATTCGCCATTGCGTCTCGCACCCGAGTGATCATCACGACTCATGATGAATGAGCCCAGTGCGTCCTTGTATTTGCGCTTCACATTCCAATCATTGATTGTATCAATTTGGGAGGCAGCAAATCGCCGAGATCCTCCCCACATACATTTGAGACACCACCCATCGCGCAAAGCGGTATTTACGGTGGAGAATGAAGTGAATTGCTGAGAGCAAATTCACTTTAATGGTAATAATGAACTCTTTTCAGCAGGGTGTTTCGCACAGGAAGCTTTCTAACATATCACCGACCAGTCGCTTGGCACGTTATGTTTGCCCATCGGTCTTTGGGTGTACCGCTGTGGTCATATTGAAGCGAGTGCCAAGAAGAACTCCTTCTGTTGATCAGATCATAATGTTAATCCTCAAAATAGGCATCGCTTCCAATAAAATGATAGGAGCTAGCTCATAATCAAGACGACATGACAATGCGTCTGCCAGCATCAGTTTCCCTGACTTGTACGCGACCGTGAATTGTGTTCTGCTAAGAATGACAACCAGCAAGCCATTTACTGTGACGAGCGAGGCGACCGAACAGCATAACGCAAGCTCATGTGATCTGATTAGACAACAAACAGAGCTGAACCAAGAATTGAACAAATAAATACCAGATCTACGCGTACATTCTAGCACCGCACTGCGTTGCTCCAATGGCACTTATTCGGCAAATCTGTCATCATCGTCCTTCGAATGAGCGAGAATATCGTGGTGTTCAAGCCGCACTAGCTGAATTGAGATCATATATCGAATCAAATTCGGGATGAGTGGCATTTCACGCTGTGAGAGCTCTTTGATTTTATAGGAAGGCTCAGCGGAACCTTCAACATGTCCCCATCGTATGAATACTAGCTCTGCGTTAGACATGTTTAATGCCACCACGCTCCATTAACAATTTTTGCTAGGAGCGTGTCGTACACATTTACACATAGCGATCAAATCGAGTCAAATCAGAAGTTCTCGCGGCCTCGCAAATTTACAGCGGAGCTGCCGTATCTCTTTTGCTTAGAGGTAGCTTGGTTAAGGTCGGTGACCCTCGTTCTATACTTAAAACCAATACGAGTGTAGCGGATCGCAATCCACTTACTCCTAGAGTAACTACAACCATAACGAGCATAATAGGCTAATCAACTCTTTCGTTTAAAATGTAGACTGTAATTTTCGTTTTCATCTGCGGCAAAGCCGCCTGTATCTAGATCTATTGGTTTTCCTATCTATAAAGAAAAGCCTAATTAAATGTAAAACTGCTGACTGTTCCAGCCACGTACAGACTTCTTTATAAAGTGTAGCACACCATTGTGTGTGCACACCATCTTGTGTTACCCACACCCTTTGCAGCGGAACTGCCGTAGCTTTCCGCTTTGAGGAAGCGTAAGTTAGGTATCTGACCTTTCGTTCTATACTCAGAACAAGTTCGAGTTTAGCGGATCGCAGTCCGCTTACTCCAAGAGTAATTATTGCCTTTCCCCAAGGCTAATAAACTTTTCCGTTTAAATCAAAAACTGCCTCTAGTTATTCTTATCTGCGGCGAAGCCCCCTAATTTTAAATGTAAAGATTCACCTAAATATATATAGCAAAATCTAAATACATGCATAGCTACTGGCTACCCAGCTACGTACCGTATTCTTATTTGGGTGCAGTCACACCATGCCCATCTCGTGTGACACACCCCTGTTTCCAGGGTACGTGTAACCCCGTTACACCCTTCATACAAGGGCACGTGAAACCCCGTTACAAATTTAGAGGTGCTGATGTTGATACTAGGCTGTGAATTTCTTACTCTGATTGGTAGAGTTGCTACCTTGAATTACGTTGACTTCGACATTAGGAGGTACAACAGAATCCAGTTTGTCCCAAGTATGTGCAGGAGATCCTCCTGAGACTCGACCTCTTAATAACGGGTTCGTCGGACGCTTTTGCATGGGTGCTCGACCCTTCGTATCTCAATGCTAGGTACTAGGATAGTGCTTTCGCACCTGCGAGTACAACCAGGCTACACGGCAACAAAGTGACTTCTTTCTTCTTTTTCAGCTCGGTTAAGGTCCATCACGTCTGGCACGCTTACAGAGCCTCCGCCATCGGCACCCAAACTGAATAAATGTTACATTCGCAACGAATGCAACATCCACCGCTTCCTTCAAAAAGGTTGTCATGACTGCACCCGTTCAAATGCTTTTTTTCATGAAGACGGTGACCCTAACCGACTCCGAAATAGGAATTTTGCACAATAGCACAAATGTGCATAAATCGTATTTTGCCCATAACAACTGTGTACACACACTTAGTATTCATTTCAAAAGACAAAGATTTTTAGTCTGGTACGACAAAATGATGACTCATGAGACGGACGACGGTGTGTACGTGGTGAACGATTCCATATTTGCGACCGGCGAGGCGCACAAGGCGACACAGGAGGAGAACCTCGCTGAGATTCAGCCTCGCCCGATAAATGAAATCCTATACATCGCCTCCATCGTGGCGCAACTCCAATTTCCCTTAGACGTGGTGAACAGCATCCTGGAGCTTGCGGGCGTACTGCTCGCTTTTCAAGCTGAGACTTCAGACTTTTGTCGTGGTCGTAGTAATATGAATGAAGAATATGTGCGATTACAGCTGCCTACCCCTGAAGAGCTACAGATTCCGCTTGGAGTGGACGTGAGTAAATGTTCGCTGGTGGTAGCAGATTGCGTGTCCAAGGACCAAGGGTGGGCCACAGATGGACGCGAGCACAATGGTACTTACCGTGAATCGAGTTCCTGGTGTGAGCTGGTGGTGAGGTCCACAGTTGCAATGGGGGAGAGCAATGAGTTAGCGCGTGTGCCATTTTACCCAAACCTTCGAGCTGGCAGAAACTTTCGCCACCACCGCAGATATTTTACCAGCTCTGCTTTTTTGCTTAGAAGCTTAAATTTAGGTGATAGCGTATCAATAGTGCTGCGGTCGCAGTATCCCGGGTGGACAAACTCGGCTAAGTACGGCAGACTTGCAGTCTGCTTTGCTGTTGAGCTAAATGACGAATTCTCGTTTGCTGATATCTCTTTTCCGGAAAGCGATGTACTTGAAGAGGAGAGCAGGAAACCCTCTATCCCTTGCTGTATCCAGTAGAGGGCTTTTTACGTAAAATTACGTTCGTATATGTCTTCATACCGTCTTCATTTCGGAGTGCGTATGGAGTGATGGTAAAATTCCAGTAAGCAGTCGATGATCCGCAATCGGTGACAATGCTAGGTGAATGAAATGACTTCAGCCTAGAGAACTATAACGTGAGATTGAGACGGTAACCTGATTGGCAATCGACAATAACTCATGGTTTTGATGTTAAACTATTACAGGGTACTAGAAACCAAGAAGTGGTGTAATAAACCTCGCCCATTGTCAGTTGTCAAACTAACGAAGGACCTTTGTTTGTCTGAGCACAGTGAATAGAACATAATTCGGATGTTGGATTTAGAATAATTGCATCCGCAAATAATGACCAGACATTCTCGACCACGTCCTGAAAGCAAATATGTTTCAGAACATACAAAAGAAGTAAAAAGCAGGACAACCGACAGAAAAAATCATATATAAATATATATATTCCACAAAGGTGATTATTATTAATTTTAGATCCGTACGTTCACGTTTGCTCTGTTTGCTCTAACCACATATTATTTGCGTCTACCGTAGCAGCACTTAACTCTCTCACACCTTGACCATTCAGATTGTTAAGCTCGTTTTAAGCTTTCACGTTCATTATCGTAGCCTGCTTCTTGGCTCCGTGGGTTTATCCTGGCTAACAAAGCAACTTGGATAAGGAATGTTATAGTTCCATGCGGCTACATTGCAAGCGAGGCCGATAACCTGTTCGTCAGCATAAAAAATATAAGTGCTGCGCGCATCGTTTAATAGTCAATAGGCTCACATTTATTCATTCTTCTCGTTCTGAGCGCTGGAAGCGATCCATTTGTCTTCTAGGGACCGCGGATTGAAGTTGTGGCCTAGCTTACAAATCCACTGATACTTATTTGCCGTTCGACTAAACGAAGATGACAAGGTGTGCATTTGACTTCATTAGGGTAGCTATCAAACCGACAAATTCGTTTACGCTTAACAAAAGTTTGGATCAACAACCTGTGCGAGTTTATATCTCAAACGAGTGTTATCGTCTGTTTGGCTGTCAAATATGGTCGCCCTGCGGAGCATAAACAAAAAAAAACTCACGACTTTTCCGGTGCAAATTTACGTCAGATTTCAGATAGTGATCAGTGTTAGGAAAGCAATTGGGCTTCGATGATATTATCATTCTTTCAAACTACTATCACTACTAATATGATCCCTACAGTTTTACTATATTGTGCGCAGAATACCACCAAATATTTCTGAGAAAATTGAAAAGTCGGAGAAGGATTCAGATTCTTGGGTTCCATCAAACCTAAGCAGCAACAAGTAATCAATGCGTCAGCAGCGGGAGAAGGACGCCCGCAAGCCTCGTGCGCAGCAGCTTGTTTTCTCCACGAAAAAAGCGAGCCGCAAGGCGAAAGAGCGTCAGCAGCAAGGACATCATTCGGTCACGGGAAGTGCGAAAGCAGCGCCTTCAGATATACAGGAAGAGCAGGAGCATGAATCATTGTCCCGCGGTACTCAAGAGCGACGAAAGAACCGCTCAAGTCGCACCTATAGCCAGTCTGTGAAGCATATGCGGCCATCGTGTGCGCTATTACAGGGTGACCACACCACAGTGGCACAGTGCGTTCGTATGATGGTGGAGCGGAAGACAGATGCGTCACTGCTCGTGAACAAGAGCGGTTTGCTCACAGGCATTTTAACAGACCGGGACGTTGCGGTGAAAGTGGTGGCGGTGGGTAGAGACCCTTGTACGACATTGGCTTTTGAGGTTATGACGCCCGATCCATCGTGCGTATCAGCTAGTTCCAGCGCAATCGACGCATTAAAGATGATGATATCAGGACAATTTCGCCACTTGCCAGTCACAGATAACGATAAGGGTAGGAGTCAATTTGGGCGAACTGAGTGCAGTTTTTTAAATTCATGCCTAGAGTAATACTTTGTGATTTGCAGTGGTGGGCATACTGGACATTGCCAAGTGCCTTTACGAAGCAATAACAAAACTTGAGCATGCGTATCGAATTTCTTCCGATCGCTTGGAAGAAACGGTAAAAAAGGTAAACTTGCGATATATCAATATAGTAAAGCACAATGTTATTGACATTACCTGATTTTGCGCTGGACACTAGCTACAAAGAACATTGCCAGGGTCCACAGAGGCAAACCTTTTTGAGTCTTTGCGGCGGAAGGTAAGACTACAACGCATTGGTTTAATTTAATAGGTCCTTACTTACATTGTGTAAATGTGCTGCAGCTATTCCTCCCAACGCTATCAGCAATCATAGTAGAAGGATCGGAGGTGCCTGTGCTTAGACCGAAGTCAACAGCTATGGACGCAGCATGTGTGATGCTGAATCATAAGACAAACGCAGTCATGGTGTGCGATGAAGCGGGTCGTACAGCGGGAATTTTCACGTCAAAGGATCTGATGCGACGTGTGGTAGCTTTATCGCTGAAGCCCAATGAGTCTTTGCTGTCTAGTGTGATGACGCCTGACCCACAAACAGCCACTTTAAGCACAACGATTTTGGAAACACTTCATTCGATGCACAATGGAAGTTTTTTGCACGTACCCGTCTTCGGTGATGGTGAAAAGTTGGTGGGTATCGTGGATGTTCTGCAGGTTACGCACGGTGTTATTCAACAAATGGGCACTTTTCAAAGTGTTAGAAGCGATGGTGTTCAGCCGCTTTGGGATCAATTTCGAAGCAGTTTGAAGAAGTCAAACGACTCTGGTGAACACGAAGAAGTTGAGGATGATCGGTCGAACGTCGGTGTGAATGATTCCGATGCAGATGGCATTGACACTCCGGTTTTGGTGGGGCGACAATCGTGGAATGAGTTTCAATTGTCGGTAGGAACACGTGCAACGGGTGACTCAGCAGCTCTGGATGAGAACCCTTTAACTGAAGAAGGGCATGTTCCCGATGTATTTGTTTACAAACTTGCCGATTCTTATGGTAACAACCACCGTTTTACTAGCTCTGCTGAGTCCGTGAGCCAGCTGCTTGTGGATGTTCAAACCCGGCTTGGTGATAATACCATTCGCCGTGTCTTTTACGTTGATGACGAAGGCGATCATGTGCGTATGAAGGTGATGAGTGCCGTATTTTAGACGAGGTCACACTTGTTTTTTTTTTATTGCAGGTGCTACTTTCTGAGGATTCTGAGTTGAGAGATGCTGTAAATCGCGCGCGCACCTGGGGAAATAAGTATATTCGGCTCATGGTTCCTCATTACCGACTTGTTCGCCGAGTGCTGGCGCATAACAGCGAAACGACGATCGGAATGGTCGTTTATGCCGCTGCTGTTGCTGCACTTGCTGGTGCATCGTTTTTCCTCAGCAGGCGAAAGTGACGTTTTTTAATCGGTTTAGTATATGCGTTTTGTGCGTGAAGAACATTGTGTGATGAATGAATGACGAAATTTAAACATTTGAGCAAACAAAACGCAGCTTCTAATAAATACTAGCTGCCCCAAAGGATACTTATCAAAACCGAGCGACCCACAGCTGTAAATCACGAAGATGAATAGATAATGACCGTTGTCAGGAACTAACACGAGAGACTACGGCGGTAATGTGCATCGCGCTGAATAATGCCAGTAGGACTACGGATCTCCAGGTAAAGATGTCCGGGAAATGATAGAAGAGTGTCCACATACCGTATAAGAACATTCCCGTGAGAAGTAGCAAAGAGTTTTGGGGGTTTATGGGCTTGAGGTTTGCCTGGATCACTGCCTCTGGATTGGGTGTTGAAGCTGTATACAGAAATAAAACATCACTAGCAGCCTCTAATGTTCAGCTTTAGATAATATTACGTACGCGCATCGGTAATAACGCTGTGGATCACCCCATTTTCTTCAATGCCGTACTCGCCCATGGTGCGACTAGAAAGAAGCAGCATGCCCATGTAAATAAGCCTAACTTTTTTTTTGTTGGCGAGCTCTGCTGCAAAGAACTTCAACAGTATTAAGTGATTGTGACAGCTGCTAATACTGGTCACAGCTCACCATATTGATAAATTCGTCAACTTGCTGCGTGGCCTTAAACCACGAAGTTCGAATCTCTTCGCCTTGGCGTAGTCGAACGGACAAGAAGCCCTCGGGTGCCTTGTATGCGACTCCATCTTCTTCCTCTGGTTTCTGTCTCGACAAGCCCATGAATAAGACAACCAGTAGCAAAATATAACAATTATTGCTTTACCCCTTTATGAGGCGATGCCACCGGTGCGTTAGCCCTGTGTGCGACCAACGTAGAATAAGTTTTCATTGATTCCACAAGCAGGACAAAACAGAGCATTTCGTACCGCACATTATCGTCTACAAGCTCCCATTCATCCTGAAGGTTCGTAGAAGACGAATTTCTACTGTCCATGAGCTTCAAGGGCGGCAACGAAAGCGACAAATTTTCGAACTGGTCCTTTTTTGCGTGCTCGCAAATATAGGACAAAAATCGACAGGCCTCGTTGAAATTATCGTCAATGCGATGTTCGAAGTATTGCTCAAATAAGTGTAATTTAAAATCTGTATTTTGATTCTGGCTGAACCTGCCAACATTTCTTTTCGACTCTTCGGCATTCAGCGTGATAGTTTCAACAGTAAAACATAGGGGAAGGGCAGTGCAACATGCAGCAATCTAGACCCACATTCAGACATACGGATTTACCATGCACTTTGCACAAAAGAAGCTTTGACTTAAAGAGGCCGTGACAAACACACAGAGGTTGGGTTCGTACGCTTCTACCAGGAGAACACCGAGAGCCTCTACCGTATTGCATAACAGCTCTGTTATTTTGGAGAGAATTTATTAAAAATCAAGGCTATCCAAGCTTATACAACTTATCTACATTTTAGTGCATCTGACTTAAGCCATGTGTACTACGAATCCCTCCATCATTTTCATAAATATCAATACTTCGGTACTTATAAATACTCACAATTTGACCAAAGTGCAACGTGAATTTTGCACAATTGTACAGTATTGTATTTGTTACAATTGTGCCAATTGTGTGAGGTTCGTTCACTGTGCTCATTCCTCATCGCTGCACCAGTCCCGCATTCTGTCTCCTTTTATCAACAAAAAGTACTGCGACACGTCGTCAAAAAATCGTTACGATGACTAGCTTCTTCGGATGAGCTGGACCTAGTTCTAGGAGTCCTGCTTGCTCTACTGTAAACACAAGAGCTACACCGAGCCTTGTCCAAATTGCAGCGGCTGCTGTAGCTTTTTCGCTTAGAGGAAGCTTGGTAAGGTCGGTGACCTTCGCTCTATACTTGGAACTAGTGCAAATTCAGCGGTTTGCAATCCACTAACTCCAAGAGTGACAACAGCCTTAACCCAAGCCTAATTAACTCTTTCGTTTGAAATGTAAACTGTATTTCTCGATATTATATGCGGCAAATGGCGCCTATATCTAAATCTATAGGTTTTCCCATCTATATCCTAATTAAATGTATAACTACTGACAGACCAGCCACGTACTGACTTCTTGTTCAAGTGTAGCCACACAAATGTGTGGTCATACCATCGTGTGACCCACACCAGCCATACCACGGCACGTGAAATCCCGCTCCATCAAAACTATAACCACCTACAGTTCCAATGCTACTATCGTCTCGAACGAGTCTCGTGTGTCTAAGGCACCACAGCATCACCAGGATCCTCTTCACGAATTTTCTGCTCAATGATCCCTGTGTTGTGGACACGGAAGACTTCCAGCCTTGCTGGTCCTGTGAACGATCGCGAGATGAGCCCTTCTTTGTCTCCTGCACGCGGTGCAACTTCGGACAGCACGCCCACAGCTTCGCAGCCCAAGCTCTCGATAACCGAGTACCGCGCAGCGTATCGTCAGCGACATGGTCGCACAATCAACAACACAGACGCGATATCTACTCCACACCGCGCACCGCGCCCGCCATGGGCGATGGATTACCTCGTCGAGGATTTGAAGGATGTCGACTACGGTTCGGATACTTTTTTTCCAGGATAGAAGAAGAAGAGGGCGAGGTGCCCTAGCGGCGCGACGTGAGTCCTGCTTGAACTGCGGACGCCGTGTCCGATTCCCGAGCTCTCGACTTCCGGGGGAAGCTGTGCCATTACCAATTTCTCGACTAGGCACAGAAGCAGCAGCTAGATGCTGTCCGCAGGGGGGGCGGTACTTGACCCTCGTGGAATACGGCTTCCGCTCGGTGGATCCCGCCACAGAAGCGGAGGACGCGATCACTTGACCGTTGGACGTCTACGTAATCGCGCTTCCGACTACTACACAAGCTGCGCTTGAATGAAAATTTCTCCGAGCTCGCTTCTTGGCTTCCCATGAAATCCCGTTGGATACGTAGTGCACTCGACTTCGTCCTCAAAGAGGAGGAGCTCTTAGACCCGTGATGCGGGCGATTCATGTGGTGCTCACCCCTGGTGAAACCGCTGCAGATGATGAAGAGTTTTTTTTGCAATCGATGCAGCGGCACCTGAAAATTTCCTTGCTGTACAACTTACAGACAAGGGTGTAGACGCGCGCGTGGAACGCTATCTTCGGATTGAGTCTGCAAAACTCGGGGACCGACGCCGAATTCCTTTGGATTACCGCTTTGGGACGTACGGGTTGATCCAGCACGGTCCCGCGAGATCTGTGGTATCACTCACGAGTGAGCCAGCGACATTCAGGGCCATAGCTTGAGCTCAGCTCGCGGAACATCATGATCCCTCTGATCATGAGCGTCCACGACGTCTGGACAGTCTTGCCGAAGTGGAACTTCAAACTCCCACATGTTCTCAAAGTCAGGTATCCCCGCCACTTCTCAAGATACGGGTTTGACCCTGGCGACGACGCCGCCCCACAAGACGTTCCACGTGATAGTGGACACCACCATTCTCGTCGAGAGGAGTCGGCGGCGGGCGATAACGACTGGGTCGATCGCCATCCGGTCACTCGCAATGCTGTTAGAGCTCTTGAGGACGAGGTCCGTCGTGATCGGAACTCCGCCAAAACATAATGTTGGGTCGCATACCGCTGCGCGGAAGACTTAGAGAGCTTGAAGCACGTCGTGCGCCGGATGCCTCACGTTGTGCACTATCGCATTCTGTCGGAGCAGCTCCTAGCCGTTGAGCAGACGAATGCGTCATTTTATGTGCAGGTGGAGAGCTTGGCGCCGTTGGCGATGGAGATTGTTGCTCTTCGTGCTTGAAACCAGTTGCTTGACCAGCTTCTTGATGGTCGAGCGCCGGTAGGCGCCGCTCGATCCGGTGCTAACGTTTCTTTTGCGCCGGATCCCGGTGCGGCCTAAGCAAACCCACAGAAAACACCCGGGAAGGTTTCGCGTATACTCAACGCCCTGCTTGACCGCAAACTTGAAACCTTGGACGGAGCTTCGTCTCGAAGACGGCAGAAAATGCGTGATATGACCTCAAAGTTTTCAATATCTCCTCTACCTCTTCCTTCTGTATATTTCCTCTGCCTGTCTCGGCTTTTACCCATCGCATCACGAACGTGTAAAAAAACATCCAGTCTATTGGTGGTCAGGAAGTCTTCGACTTCTTTACGAACAGTGAGACGGCTGACCTCAGCTAGCCGCTCGGATATTCCTCCCCACCAAGCCCAGAGCCATGAGTCAGTGGCGTCAGCGGGACGCGAGGATGAACGAGCTCATGTAAAATGGCGTGTAGCCGGTAGATGAATGCGCTGCATTGTTCAGAGTAAACTCTACGAGTGGCAGCATGGCGCTCCGGCGCCTGTATCAGTACAGACGCTGAGGAGGACGTCCTCGACGACGCGATTCACGCGCTCAGTTTGACCAACAGTTTGCGGATGGTTCGCTGAAGACCAGTTCAGTTTGGCGCCTAGCACCTTGAAAATCGTCGACCAAAACTTCCTAGTGAAGCGTGGGTCTCCTTCAGAAACAATTGACTCCAGGAGTTCATGTTGTCGAAAGACACGATCCACAATCAGCGTAGCTGTACTGACACCGTCGATGTTGTCCGATACCGGCTCAAGATGCGCCATCTTGCTCAAACATCCTACAAGGACCACGATATCCGTGTTGCCCGCCGAGGCCTTCGGCAGGCCAAACACAAAGTCCAAACTCATGGACTGCCAGCACCCGGAGGGTACCGGCAAACTGGCCAGCGGTACCGCAGCATTCGCAGCAGTTTCTTCCTTTGACAGATCTCGAACATGCGTGCACCTATGTACCCATGTTCGAGATCTGTTCGGTCACTAGTACAGTTTGAGCCACCAGTAGAGCAACGCACAGAGCTGTGTGTCATCTCACGACCGAGATGACTACTGAGCGGGGTGTCGTGGGCCTCACAGAGGATACAGAATTTCAAATTCTCATCGTGATGAGCCACAATTCGGTGCGTATCCGTCAAGTCGTTTCTATAATACAGCAATCCATTATTTAATGAATGTCGGAGCAACCGTGCACGTAGTCGCGATGACAACTTCTTGTCCAAGTTTCCAAACTCCTCCCGAGAGTCCGTAGCAGTGCTACGCACAAACCACCGCCCGGGTATGCGGCGTGTATCGAATCCGTCACTGACGACGTCACCGCCGTGACATAAGCAAGCTCTGCGTGACAAGTTTCCAAACTCCTCCCGAGAGTCCGTAGCAGTGCTACGCACAAACCACCGCCCGGGTATGCGGCGTGTATCGAATCCGTCACTGACGACGTCACCGCCGTGACATAAGCAAGCTCTGCGTGACAATGCATCAGCAAAATCATTATTCTTTCCTGGCTTATACTTCACCTCGAAGTTATATTCTGCGAAGAAAGGGAACCACCTGGGTATCCACTTCGAGTGGTGAGGCGACTTTGTGTAGCGCGTAGTGACGCAGGGTATGTGTTGATCACGAACGGCTTGGAGCCGAGCAGGTGATCTTTGAACTTGACAAGTGCATAATTTACGCAGGTAATCCCGTGTCGTGAATTGGGAAGTTTTTCTCTTACACCTTAAACTGGCGAGTTTGGATCGCGATCACCCGATCTCGCCCCTCCGCGTCTGCTTGTAGCAGTGCACAGCCGAGGGCAAAGTCCGAAGCGTCACAGACGACACCGAAAGGATGATCCAGGTCAGGCAACACCAGTATTGGCGAATGAAGAATGCTGGCTTTGACCCTGTCAGAAGCTTCCCGACGCTCCGTGTCCCAACACCATTTCGCATCCTTCTTAAGGATGTTCAACAATGACCGTGTAGTTTTCGCTGTACTTGTGCTAGTAGTTGGCGAGGCCACGCCACTTTGCGCAAGTCTTTTTGGCTTATTGGAACCGGCCAGTCCACAATGGCCTATACCGTAGCGGAATCCGCTCGAAGGCCACGCTTCCCAATGAAGCACCGTTAAAAGGGATTTACTCGGCGCCAAAGAGTCTACATTGGCATACAGCTCATTCGTGCGCATGCACTCAAGCACCGCTCTTGAATGTACGATGTGATTTTCTTCATCCGTCCTCCCATGCTCCGCACGACTGTGGACGAAGATGTCTGTGCATATGCCCGGTGAGGCCCAAACAACTGCGTTACAAGATCATTAAATGTTTTTGGTGCAATTCTTAAGGTTCCACCAGACAGAGCATGCTACTCGGAGCACTCACCGCCGTCAGCGGAATATCGCTCGCTCTCATTAGGAATCGGTAATAACCATCGACAAAGTCGAGTGCGCTGTACTTTGCACAGCAACCACATTTCTCTGAAGAATATCCTTCCTAAAATCCTGCGACTGTGCCGGAACGGTGGCAGCGATGTGCTAATTGTAAGCGCTGATGATACGCCACTTGCTGCCACGAAGCGGTCTGAGGAACCATGCGCTGTTAGCGTCATGTCATGCAGCAGCAGCACATATTAGTCACTTTAGCATGTCATTTCTCCTTAGCATCTGTTTTGTCGATGTCGCTTTTGATAAAGAATACCTCAACACTAACTTATATGCGAGGCCTTTGTTCCCGCTTCAGGTTGAACCTTATAAATTGATGTCTGTGCGCTGCCAACGTTCTCTCCGCGCAAAGAACAAAATAATCTTGTTATATTTTGTGGCGCTTGTAGCCAATCCGGCCTCCGAGACATAAGAAGCCTAGATCCTACGGGGGATAGTGCACAAATGTTATTTATACCTCGGACAACTAGGCATGCTTGGCAGGATCATGTCTACGGCTCATTTTGAAAAAAAGGCAATCGGTGGCTCAAGGGCCTAAAGCAGTAGTTGCTCGCTCGGGGGAACTCGTCAGCTATTAAAATAAGCGGGTGGTAATACTCACAAATAACCTCAGCCTAGCATCGGTTGAGATACAACAACATGTTTTATTACCAGTGTTTGGACCTCTAGTACAGTGATGTAAAAGTCTCCTAATTTGGGTGAGAGAAGGGATGATGGCCATAAGTTTGGCAATTCTTTAAACAGAGCAACAGCCCATTGCGTTGGGGATTTCAAGCTGGAGGGTGTTGCGCAAGGATAAGAACTTCACGTATAGTACCTCTGAAGAATATATCGGGAGTGTTGAAGCCAAATTATTTGCTGGGTTCGCACCGCCAATTCAGACACAACGCTTGTGTTCGAACATTCTGTTCATTCATCAAGAGAACTAGCGACTTTATCCAAGCGTTCAGAGCTGTCATCATCGCAATGTGGTAGATCCTTCACTAAATAACATGCCTGGCACCGCCATTGTAACTGGTGTTCAAGAAGGTGCAAGTCGGACGCCATTCCTGTTCATTTAGCCTCTTTGAGGACGCGGTAAAAATATCGCATCACCCTGAGAATTATATTTGCGCTGCGAGTCGGTTGGAGTACGAGATTTGAGATGTTATCTTATCCAATATATGGCATTGTTTGAGCATTATGAGCCAAGGATCGATCGAAAGTGAATAGGTGGGATGCGCTTTCACCGGGAAGCTTTTGACCCATCTCCACTGTAGACGAGAAAGAGTAATTGTGTGTGTAACGGCGACTAGGGATGAGCAATTGTGAATCGCTAATAGAAAATGCAATTCTCACGATGGTCCATCCATACCACGACGTAGCCGTACTGCTGGGACAGTGTGTGAATTTCTTACTGCAAAGCATCCAATCTTCATACATTTGCGACATAAATAATAAAAACTCATAAATCTTCTCATTTGCAGTAAAATGCTTTGGAAGCTGCCGGCGATACCCCGGGTCCGTCTAATGCAAGAGCAAGGTTTCATTGTCTAACGACACAGAGGTTTAGGTGATATCGTGCCTATGTCAAGTACCATGATTGTGCAGAGTATGGGAAATTGGATGTCAGATTATGCGTCAAATGTTGGACTTGGTGGCATCGTCACCACGTCTCTCGAAAAAATTATTTTCCTTTTTTACAGAATAAATCTTTTAGAAACATACTGGGTCAACTTATTTATAATGTATCACGTTTCACAACGGTGACGTCCACATTGATGATGCAATTCGAACAGCGAGCGGGTCAGGTGCAACATTTGGTGGCTTTTGAGCTGCAAAGCTTGCTGTTTTATCGCACTGACATCCATGATAAATAACGTTTGTCAGCATCCCACAAAGAGAACCTCGAATTCAGAGACCTGTAGAAGGTAAATGATACATTCTCGGGCAGCCATCTCTGGACACGAACGCCATACTGCTTATCCAGTCCCATGTGTTGACGACCCTGATGGTAAGCGTTCGTGGTAAACGGGTTAACGGATGAAAACCTTCTTGCGTGCGTCGGTGCCCTTATTAAGCCTGTCGGCCCCTGCAGAATGGAGGCTGTCCGGGTATCTAGTTTTATTTTACAGAAGATGCGTCCGACAATACCGGTATTGTTGTCTTTGTGAATCGTCTGAGCAAAATGGCTAAATAAAAGACATGTCTAACTGATAGGCATTGTTTTAGTTCGATATCCGTGCATTACAGCGACGTTCGGCGAAACTTGTTCAAGGTTCCGCGTACCAGATTGAACATAAAATTGCCGCTGATGATCCTCAGACAGATTAAATAAATCAAACGCTATAATCAAAACGTTGCTTCGCCGTGAACAAAGCACTTTAAATCGGGATGGCTTGTAAGAGCGATCTTCACGAAACTGACGTAGAATACAAATTGCATTCGCAATCTCTTCGAGATATTGAGAGTGTAGCCCAAGTCGTGTATAATTACGTCCGTAAGAGTTTCGATACAGCAGGGCGAAAACTTAGTCGGGAAGTTAAGTGCATTCAATAATTTCTTTCACCCAATACATATTCGTGCACGTTCCTTATGTTTCTTTTGCAGTGCATATCCTGGTTCGCAGCCATGACGCCATAAACTCAACGGATGCTTTTCAGTCTCACCGAAACAAATCTGTGACTTTTGCTTCAAAGTGTGGGAGTTAAGCTAGTATCAGTGAGTCAAATCATACCGATAGTCTGGAACCAACAAGACTGGGTCTACTTTGCGGCAGGGCGAAAAAGAGCTATCCTTATCACATCTATAAAATAGGGTAAAGCATGAGACGCGTGATTTATCACAAACTCAATGAGTAAACGCATTCACTCCAGTACTGTGTGTGCTCCTCGCAGATGCTTCAGAGAATACAAGCATCCCATTGAGGTGAACTAAGTTCGACATCAGGGTAACGAACCTGTTCTGAGCCACACGGACTACTCGGGCAATATTATCCTGGTGCTGCTGCAGCTTATGACTTAGCCAACCATCATTATTTTATTCATGGGCAAAAAGCGGCAGGATCGCCCAGTGCAACGCGCTTTTTACTAGCAAGTGGGATATGGTCTTGCTCCAATGTCGAGTCGTGGATGCTAGCTGTTCCAGTGGTCCCATAGATGTAAGCAGCGCTACTGGCAGCAAAATTTGAGGTGGCGAGCTTGCACCTCGACGTCTATGTCGCGCTTTAAACATCGCAAAAGCTAAACGTTACATAAAATTGGTTTAGTTTAACCCCTGTATAAATTATACAAGGTGACTTGAATGACACTGTAAGACGGTTCAAGCGGCGAGCTTTTATCATCTAGTTTGCGAATTGAGCGCGAAACATTTGTCAGCGCTCATTAGGTTTTTCGTATGGTTGCAAAGTTATTCAACCGCTGTTTTTCCAGGCAAAGGTGTTAGTTTTGAGGAGCGGTCAACTGAAAGGCTCGAAGTGCTCACAGAACGTCTTCCGAGCGCTGCTTATGGCAATAGCTTGAGCGAAAAGAATGCTCACCTAAGTGTCTAAGGGCTTCGCTACGCCGCGGCAGACAGCTTCCGACGGATTAAAACCATAATCACGTCGTGATTTGTTGCTGCAACTCATTGTGCCTGCTGATGGGAATTTCCACCGAGCCAGACATTGCCGTGAGCTCCATGGCGTGACGTTTTGACACTTCCCGTCAGGTGAAATGAGCAAAGAGTGCACTATTCTTTCCAACACGTGGCGTAACGTAGAAAAGCCTCTTGCTCAGCAATATGTCCCAAAGAGAACAGGGGCTCGGTAAGTCGCTACAGCCGCTCTCACACTTCGGATTTTTGCTGAGAATGGTTTACGATCGTCAGCAGCATGAACCGCACCTTCTCAGGGGCTCGTTGAGCCATGGGCGCGCGCTAAGAAGAGAAATTCTGATGCGGATAAAGCAAGAGTTGTGAGCTACAAGTAGTGGAGTTATTTCAAATTGCAGTAGATATTTCTTGAGTATTTCAATGCAGTAAGTATGAGAGTCACTGTGGTCCACATCTATTAATATCGTATTATGGTAAACATACACATTAGCTTTCGGCGCACAGCTCAGGGCGTTGATGAGGATAATGGGTCGTGGGACACGCGTCTCACATCATACAATTTATAAATTTACTTTCTTAAACATGCTAAAACATATATTTTTGTAACCGGGCAAGTACAGTGGTTTAACCTTTCACATTTGGTACATTTCAACTGGCAATGCAATGCGGCACAATTGTACAAAATTCTTACCACCCTTGTTGTATACGTGAATACTCGAAAAAATATCTGTGAAGAAAATGGAACCTCAAGGAGGAGTCCGTGTCAGATAATAAAGACAGATTGAGTATATACGATAGTAAAGCGTATATACTAAGTAGCAGTCTAAATGGATCATTCTCACTGTAAATATATATCTTGCAATAGCAAAAAGTCCTAGTTACCTTTGAGGCTCTCGATTCCGCTCTTGATAGAAGCGCACAAACCCAATCTCTGAGCGTTTGTCACCGCAGAATATCTAAATCAAAGCTTCCTATGTGCAAGGGGAACACCAACTCCGCTGCAATCGTCGTAGTCGTGCTAGTCATCCCGCCTCATCGTAGCGAGCGAGCGATGGACGAGGAAATTAAGCTCGAGTACATGCGCACTACCAAGTATCGAAGGCATTTGGCGCATTTGGGGGGGGAATTCTATGACATTCGAGCAAAACCGAGACGCTCAGAACTTTTTTGTCGATCTCGATGAATTAAAAGGCTTCAGGAAGTTTCTTGACCAACTAGTTGCAAAAAGCACAATTGACAATGCCACTTCGTTGACAACTTGCTCGAATTCAGCGTGTTTCGGTTCATATTTCAGAGTCACCTTTTTACACACCAAAACATATTAGAAGCGTACATATATATTAAACTATGACATTTAGGAAATTTAACTGGGGTCTACACATACTACAATTTATATTTTGGTCATTCCGCTTTCTCCAATGGGCTTCTGTCATGGACTTACCGTTTGGGTCCCTGTAGCTCTAATGCTAGCTGATATGTTAGTAGGAGCAATACCTCCACAAGATGAAGAAAACCCTGTCAAGTTTGGTTTTGACTCATCTCTCCCACCCCAAGACAAGTTCTATGTGCCGCACGAAGCCTCGCAGCGGCCACACCAGCTATTTAGTGTTTGCCTTTCTGCATTGGTTGTGTGTATTGCATCGGCGGCTAGGACTGGTGGAGGGGCTTTGCTGAATGCTGTTTACGTTTTAATTTTGAGTCTGGAGCCGGATGTATGTGATGTACTGCTGCAGTGAAAATCTGCTTACATCGTGATACTATGTGATGACTTATTGTATAGGAGGCAATTCCTGTTACTAGCATTACCGTTTTTGGGGGAGGTATGTTTGTTTGTCAAGCGAAGGAAATCTTATACATATGCTATGTTTGACCATGTCTTGTAGCCATTTGCGACGTCTTTTTCAATCTATGGAAAAAATCAATCCATTCAAATTTTTCGCTGATCAACTGGGATTTTATTCTGTTGATGCAGCCAATGCTTCTCAGTAAGTGTCAGAGCTTTTCGTAAACTAACTTTTGGTGACTTTAGCTCGTCGTTTTTTTCTGTAGCGGGTGCAGCTCTCGGAGCGTCAATGACAGTGTTGTTATCTTCTTGGCTGCTTGTTATCTCAATGATAGTGTACCTGATCTACGTCGGCAGAAAAATATTTGTCAAGGCTTATGCTGCTGGACATGATGAAGGTTGGCGGTGTTGTAGCAACAATGAGATGACATTGCTGCTTGGTGTGCCGTCCTCTGGCGTTCAGGTGAGAACGCAACTACATCACGTTACTGAGAATAGTTTGGTATTCTGGTGAAAAAACATTTTATCACTAGGACGAGGACGGAAACTTTCAGTACAGGGCTTGTCACCCGTGGCGTAAGGTAGCAATGAATCTCGGTCTCTTTGTTGCTACATTGCTGCTTACGTTGCTTCGAGGCGGAAAGTATATATCCAACCCATTTGGAATTCCTCCCGGATCATTTGTCCTCATATTCGTCTCAGCGCTGCCTGTCATCTTTCTTTTGGTCGTGTCACGCTACCAGATGAAAGGCATTGTGGCAACGTTTCAAAGGCAGCAGAGTTCTCGTTACATCCTTGCACCAAATGAAGTCAAGGTAAGCTGCGCTTACTTGCACATCACTAATATCTTAATAAAAGTCTTATATTGTGATATTTATCAAGTGGTCGCCGGACTTCATCCAAAACTTCTCTCTTCACTTGGTCGGCAGCGGCTTTATTGCAGGGGCGTTCGGCGTCGGCAATGAGGATGCGACATCAATCTTGCTGCGCAGAGTAAATTTTCCACCAGAAGCAGTGTCTGCCATGTCGGCCACGACCGTGTTTTTTGTTAGCGGCGGTAAGCTTGCTTGATTTTCTGCTATGATTACCATTAACGGATGCACTTACAATTTGTAGTGGCATCCCTTAACTTTTTGCTGTGGGGCCACTTGGATTTGCAATTGGCCAAGTTATATATGCCGCTTGGCCTATTGATGACGTTACTGGGTCGGATGTGCCTAGGAAAAATTGCTCAAAAAGCTAAATCGTGCTCTTTATTACTTTTTGCCATTGCCGCTGCGATTTTCATTAGTATTGTGCCACTTAGTTACATGGAGTTGCGCGCTCTAATCAGTTTCTAAGTCAGATTTAAGAGCTCAAATCAAGCTTCGTATTGTTATAAAATCATAAGTTTAGCAGCTCATTAAAACGCAAGTCACACAATACTACTGTATTACCAGGGAAGAAGGAGTGGGTGAAGATCTGAGTGGACGGGAAGGAGGAAGAGCAAGAGAAGGCTAAATCATGGCGGACGCTGGTTACCACACGCAGGAGCACGGAATGAGCCAAAGAAAGCGCCGTGAGGGTATACTTGACGGCGAGTCGGCTCTCAAGAAGATCAAATTAGAGGAAGAGACTCCGCCGGAGGCTAACCCTAATACAATTGAGGCTGTGAGGGAGAAAAACAAGGCATTGGATATTGACATGAAGGAAAAAAATCGACGAATTTCTTATCTAACTAAAGTGTGCGAGACGTTGTACCGATCGCGAGGCGTAACAGACGCTTTTCTCCGCTGCCTAAGAAGGCATTGGTTTCAATTGGAAGATGAGCTGCTCGCTGCATTGAAGACAGTAGATTCTCATGCTGTCTCAAGCGATATCTTAAAGGAAGCCTTGCAGTCCTCTCAAGACGGCTTTGGCCACATCCGCGTGCGCGAGGAGGAGCTAAAACTTGATTTGCCAGAGTGGTTTATCATTGTGGCCAAGGACGCAGAGCAGGAAGAACCGGACGCTGATGTGTCGCTGCCATACGACGACACTCTTTACGAAACTAGTATCAAAGCAGAGGATTTATCAGAGATGGAAAAGGAGGTGAATAAGCAGCTTGAGGAGAAAAGCAAGAAGACAAAGAAAATACTGCAACAATTGCTTGCTGCAGTGGGAAGCGTGTCTGAAGACAAGTCTAGATTTATTGAGTATGCTCATATTGTGCACGATAAACGAGCAGCGGTGACTAAAACATTGGAATTTAAGAGCCAGCTTCTGGCGGTACGTGGAGATGTGTGGTGGATCAATAATGAGGTGCTGATTATAATTGTATCATCACACAGTGTCAAAAGCGGATAGCTGAGCTTACGCGTGATGTTGAGTTAAAAGAGACGGAGCGTCATCGTGCCTGTCGTGACTATGATCGCTTGAGTGCATTAGTGAAGCAACAGGTTGCAGAAGCTGCGGTGAACGCTGGTGACAGCGTTGTGAAGACGGAAATAGACGCTAACGGCGAACAATCTGGTGAGAAAACAATATCCGAAACAACAAGCATTGAGATGGTAAAACAGGACGAGCTTGTGGAAAAAGAGAAAGAAAATGCGAAAGTTGTTGCTTTATTGAAAGAGAACGTAGGAATTCTGAGTAAGAAGTTATACCAAGAACGTCATAAATTTGATTCCGTGAAGCAAGAGATTGAAAAATATAAAGCTTTGGAAGTAGCGGTAAGTACTATCAGCATATTGGTTGGATGCATGACAAAATATCTGATTGATTAGTCCGTGGCTATACTCTTGGACAGTGGGAACACGATGAAGCTACTTTAGTTCAGGAGCATGAAGACAAACTTAACCAGCTGCGCGAAGAAAAAAAGTTTAGTGATGAAGAGTACAGGAAGCTTATTCACAAAACTAAAGTATCGCATCTGCAGCTTGCGCTCTTGCCAGAACTTGTCAACTGATTATTTGTTCGAATGCGGTCTCAATTTAGGATCTCGAGCACCACATGAGTGAGAAATGGGAGAAAAAAATCTTAAAAATCCAGGCGGAGATGAGCACGACGAAGTCGCAAATGGACGAATTAAAGTTGAAAAATGTATCTCTGCGAGAGAAAGTAGTCAACGCATCAACCTATAGAGATCAGGTAAGCATATTTTAATGGATTGTTTGTAGTTGTCGCCAACAGGATACTGTATGCATTGAGCCTAGCTGACTGAAGCCAAGTCAGAGCTGGAGTTAGTGAAGCGTGAAAACGCAAAATTTATGGCACAAATTGAGCGTGAACGCAGCCGAACAGATAGAGTACAAGCATCGGCTGACAAGCATGAATTTGAGATACTGCAAAAGAAGGTAAAGCTTTAGCTGTTGAGGTTAGTCACATCGGTATCTGACTGTACTTTCGAACAGGTAGCTCTATTGGAAATAGAGAAGCAAGAATTGCAGCAGGCGTACGGTGCCGTAAAGCATGCCGAAAAGTGCGTGACTGTACCACGGATGATTTTCAAATATATTGACGTCAGTTGTCTTACGGGTGGTGCTTTCCATCGACAGGGAAAATGTCCATGAGAGTTTGTCTGATGCCTTAAAGCGACTAACTGAGGTGGAGGCGAAATTTGAGGAAGAAAGGCAAAAGTGTTACGTCTGCGTTTTGGATAGGGAGAAGCAGCTTGCTGAGATTGAGAATATGAAGGCTGTAAGCGAATCTTTACGAGAAGAGAACGACGCTTTATTACTCGAGATTGAAACGATGACGAAAAGTATGGAGTCTCTGCGTCATGGTCGCAAAAAATATATTCAACAGATTGAAGAGAAGCGCAGCGCAAACAAAAAGCTTCACACGTTGCTTGCAAGGGAGGAGCAAGCAAAGTCTCATTGTTTCGAGGAGCTGGCCGCTGTTCGGCTACAAGTCTCGACCCTGAGCACTGTCCACAGACACCAAAAGACATTAATTGAATCCTTAAAGGTAAATTGTATAGTTTAATATCAATTTCATCCGTTATCTGACATGGCTTATTTTCTTACTTGTTGATCTAGGAATCTTTACAAGCTAAGGAGGTCGAGCTCGAGAATTTCAAGGAGTATATTAAGTGCGTTGAGTCGGAGCGCGAAGCCTCAGATGCTGAAAAACGCAAATTGTTGCGGGATGCAGAAGTTGCAAAATTGATTTGTGCGACCGCAGAGAAGTCGCAGCAGCAACTGCAAGAAGAGAAACAGAAGCCGTGTAAAGAGTGCGAGACGCACAGCCGAAAGCTTGAGGATATGGAGCAGAAGCTGCAGCATGCCAAGTCAGCCTCTTTGACCGGCGAGCTCACTGATCTAGAGCGGTTTGAGCTGCGCGATTTGCAGAAGGTTGTCAATTGCTCTGTGTGTCAGGATCGACGCAAAGACGTGATCATTTCCAAGTGCTTTCACATGTTTTGTAAGGAGTGCATCGAGAATAATCTCAAGTCCCGCAATCGCAAGTGTCCCACATGTAAAAAGATGTTTGGCCAAGACGATGTCAAAACCGTGTGGTTTACGTAGTAAGTGTCAATTAGCAATAAAACAATTGGACTTGCGGAATTTGTGTATGAGTCTCATATTAAATATCATACACTTCAGAAAAAATTATGCGCAAGAAACGCGACTGCAAATCACGGAAGCGTCGCGTGTCTGAGCTACAGGAGGCAGTTAGCGCAGCGAGTAGAACAAAACAACAACGCTGTACGACAAGTCGTTCCTATTGTCGATTGTATGCTCCCGAAGACGCCGTCCTGGTAGTGGGAGACGGCGATTTTTCGTTTTCACGTGGACTAATAAAGCACCGTGGAACAGGGCGAGGCGTGCTGGCGACTTCATTTGACTCCGAAAGCAAAGTCAAACGCAAATACTCGAGCGCAAAGGATTGTATCACAGCGGTTTGGTCCTCGCATGGCATTGTAGTGCACGATGTCGATGCCACTAAGCTGCATGAAATGCCGCGACAAGTCAAGACTGCCATGGGTTTAATGAACATTCCGGATTTTTTCCAATACATCGTCTTCAATTTCCCTCATAGTGGCGAGCAACGCGTGCACATAAATCGAGCGCTGCTACGTAACTTTTTTGAAAGTGCTCGGACCCGGCTGATGGCGGATGGAGAAGTGCACGTCACACTCAAGACACGACCTCCATATTCAAACTGGTTTATTGAGGACCAAGCCAAAACCGCAGGCTTTGTGGTAAAAGAGCGACGAAAGTTGGATATGTCACTATTTCCAGGATATCGGCACCGTACAACAGACCCACAGGCTAAAGAATTTGAGCCGCATCTCTGCGTCACTTATGTATTTGTGGTCAACCGGTCAAAGGTACTGCGTAAAGATTCTTTCCGCCAAGCACGTAATTACCACTGACAGTTACGTTTATGTGAAAGTATCCCTTTTTGGCATTTCAAGCTGACCCAGGTGCTGCTGATGCCCAACCAGCAGCAATGTATCTCAGTGAGCAACACAATTTGGCTGCCGCTATTGTCAACATCGCGGAAGCAAAAGCTGCTGCGAGTGCGAACGATAGAAGCCAGATTCGGCATATCGCTAAAAAAAATCAAGTCTCGACCAAAACAGCGAGCGAGGACCCAAATCAGTTGAAAATCAATAAAGGCAGGCTTTGGAAACCTGTGCACCGAAGAGATTTAATTTCTTACAGATAATTTGCCAAATAAGACATTGGTAGTTTATGTGAAACAGTGAATAATGAACGATTTATGAGATATTTGGCACTTAAAACTTTTTATTTTGTCCGACGCACAAAGCGACGAAAAGATCGTCATTCGCCCGTTCTGCTTGATCAGAAATGCCACGCAGAGCAATCATCAGAATAACAAGTTCACCAGGGCAGGGAAGAAAGTCTTTTACTTCAAGAACTCACGGTAAATTGAGGTAACTCTTTGGCAAAGTTGCATTGATGTCGTGAATGCTTGCGACCCCTTGATTATCTCTACGACGGTGTCGAACGCAACGTGCTTCCAGATGATCATGGCTGTTTACAGCAATTATTGAAGGTGTTGAACGTCGACTTTATTCTTTATAGACCGCAAAGTCAAGCATAAAAGTTGTTCTAGTCAGACGTCTGGTTCACTTAACAAATAAGGTTATTTGCTTTGATCATCCAAAGTAAGATCCGTCGGCACCTTTCGCAGCGCTAAGTTCAGAGTTACGGAATTAAGGGTACCGCTTATTGCTGAATGATTGTATCTAAAGTACTGCGAGCGCTGAAGACTCTATGGTTAGAATGCGAGTATCGGGTGAAAAAAAACGTTTAGTGATAGCCAAATGGAACATCGAATGGAATATTGCATAATGCGCGCGTCTAAAATGAGTTAAAGGCAACGTTCAAGTCAAGGCAAACAGTAACCATCGTCCAGTTCGTGCTAAAAAAGCTGCAGTCATATTGCGGATACAGCAACCAGCCAAGTCTCGAACTCGAAACAGTGCATGCAGTGCCCTCAGCAACAGCCAAGAAACTGACGTCGGACCAGTGCCGATGGATATGAGTAAGGTCATAACACATGGAAGTGCGTTGCGTCGCACGGCCGTCACTTACCTGTGTGCCAATTGATAAGCGGTGACGTCCGAAAGAAATTTATCCGCAGTAAGGAATTACAGCTCATAATGACAATTGGTTCTCTTTCCTAGGCCTCGTAACGACTGTGGCTACCGCGCCGAATTATAAGTCTTTTCAAATGGGAGCGAGATTATCTTGTTCATCAAGCGGACCAGGAGAGAGACGTCCACCTGTAATCAGCTCATCCGTACTTAAGGATTTCGTGAAGCGCGTTGACTTTCTCCCATGGATTCTGCGTGCGTTCAAATGCAGACGTCGGTCGTCTTTCGTAAGCGCTTTCGGAGGTGCGCAATCGAATCATTTGAATTGGGACACTTCATGCAGCTCAAAACCGGATCGCTGCTTTAAAGCAAAAAGTAGTTAAGCAACAGAGGTCTGTTGATACTTCTTTTATCTTCGACGTACCACGCAGTAAAAGTATTCCGCGTGAACATCTGCTTGCGAATTGTCACCGATTGAAATGTATAATCTAGTCTAAAGCACGGTATGCACATTTGCCAAAGCTTTGCTGTAACATGTAAATCGCGGTCGAACGAAAAGGCTTCATGCTAGCAATTTTGGCAAAAATCGTGGTCGATCGCCAGTTGAGTAATTTTGACCAGAAGGCTCTCAAAGGCCGCAATATCGTTTTTATCGGACGCATCTCTAAAAAACTTTAATTAAAGCTCACGTTAATTGACCCGGTACAGCAGTTCCTTTACTTCTAGCAGCATAAAGCTTTCGGCAACAGACCACATGGTGTGCCTTGTCCGTTCGCTGATTGCCTCACCAATTTGTAAAGTCGCGATCGCGACGTGTTGCACTCCATAGTCAAGGTGCAAAACAGTAAATGCTTGTTTTTTGGAATTGACAGATTTAGTGTAAGTAGTCAAATTTCTATCAGAAAAATCAGTACGCTATGATGCAGAAGGCAAAAAGAAAGTCTGAGTATACCTAAAAAAATCACTTGAAGGCACGCCAGTGTTCACGAGACGGAATCACAACAGCTATCCATCAAAGTGCTCATGTATATCATTGATCTTACCCAGCGTCAAGCGCTCGGCTTTCATTAATCACTTGATAAGATCTACCTTGTGATAAGATATAAGTGGACTTAATCACTAGGTCTGAAGCTACGTGCAGTATAAACGAAATAACTAGTAGTAATACTAAGAGCATTACGCCGACACTTTTCTTCCTTCGCTGGTGTATGTGGGGGTAAGCGTAGGGCGTGTAAGAGTAGTCGGACCTCCAATGTATTTACCGTCAAATATATACTATCTATTCCTTCTGGGGAGACCGGTTGTTGAACCGGAATTCGGCTAGAGCAACTTGCATTTAAACTCTTTAAAGACTTCCTTAAAGTCGTTGTGGTGGGGGTACCAATAAAGCACGCGTTAAATGTATTTCGAAGTGGTCAGGTCATCTTGGTATAATGGAGCGTAAGAGAGCTGACGACAGAGGAAAATTCAAAAATCCAGGACAATGCCTTAAAAAGCGAGATTGAACGATGCTTGGGCAGGGGCAAACATAACATTTACGGGGCAGGCCTGAGTAAACTTTGCACTGGTCTAGCAGTTGGCGATTTCAGGTGTCGTAGATCGGCTAAATTCGAGACTGTCTGTGTATATGACGAGTCTACCAGACGCAAGTGCTGCTTTTTGTCACTAGTTGATGAACTGACTACGAACTGTCGGATTCCTAGTTGAAAAAGTGGAGTGGTTTTAGCGTAATTCTTCATGAATTTTCGAGTTCTTCCCAGGAGAAAAATAGCGTTCTTGCCGGATTAAGGTATTTGAAGCTGGTCCGCTTCTTTATATCGTAAATCAGAGTTCTCGCCCAGATAGAAAAAGCTCCGATCCTTGAAGTGCCAGTACAAGACGACGTAGCTGTAAAACGTCCGCAATTTTCCTCTCGGCATTTCTTACTCAAAAATATGCAATCACAACGCTTCTGCTCATTGATCAGACGAATTGAATTACGTGACGTGTCTGAAAACGTCGTTAGTCGTCTTAGGTAGAGCCAGAGTTGATATCGAAATTTCTTCGTGTTGGAGAAGACATTCTAGACACTACAAAGCTTCATATCCTTATGATGGGTGTCCACCGATACAGAAAACTTTACTCAATTCTGATCTTCAGAGCCCAGACGTCTACCAAAAGTATGCAAAGTGGAGCTGATAAACTTATCGTTAAAATCCACACTGGCGAGACACTACACAGATCGGTTTTAGAGCCACTACACAGATCGGTTTTGGAGCTATGGTCCTGTAAACTCGGTTCAGGACGGGTTTTATAGTCGCCAGTAGTCAAGGTGTGCTGCAGAATCAAATTTCTCAGTTTTGTGTTAATTGCGTGTTGGACAGTGGCTTCATGAAGGTTCTGGAAAGGTGGACCTTCCTGAAGACAAGAGCCACATTGGTGTGGGGCTCAAACGGATCCGTTTGTTGATTAGACCAGTAAACACAAGCCATAGCATCAATCGCGTGAAGAAATAGTTGTTAGTCGCGATGGATCCAATATGGAGAACTTTGTTTCTTGGAGAGCCACAACTTGACAGCAAGAGAAAAGGTTTGAACACTTGGTCTGTTGAGACCGTTGACATTGTTAGCGACGCTTTAAAAGGTGGAAGCGAGATATTAATTTCGGTGGAGGTTGGCAGCTAATAAATATTTGGTGAAGGTATTATGCGGAAAAGTTCGCTATTGTCATGTCGTAAACCTATCTGTAATGTGCTACGGAATTAACGCAAAATGGCAGCAGGATTTAGGACCAGCATGACCGCGCAAACGCAAAAGCTACGCCAGCATATTGAGGCACTGCTTCGCCGCGATGCTAACGAAAAGGCGATGTCTTTGAGCGATCAAGCACTGCGACGCCGAGTAGATGACTATTACATACCCATGTTCAAGTGGACAATAGAAGTCGTGGAGGCTGTACAAAAGAAGCAGGGCGATGCCAAACATTGTGTTTGTGTCGGTATAAGCTGTCCGCAAGGAGGCGGCAAGACCACATTGTCCGTATTCATGCAGGAAGCACTGGCGTTTGTGGGCAAAAAATGCGCTGTTATGTCAATGGATGACGTGTACTGGAAGTATGATCAACAAATGGCGATAGCGAAGGCTAACCCGGGTAATCCTCTACTTCAGGTGATCAAGTGTAATAATGTTCTTTTGTGCGTAAATAAAACTCACGTGGCATCAATGCAGTATCGAGGAAATCCGGGCACAATGGACGTGTCACTTTTGATGAGGATAGTATATGAGTGCAAGACTTCCACAAATGTAATTGCATTACCACGATATGACAAATCATGTAACAACGGTCGAGGCGATCGTGCGCCTTTTTGTGACTGGGATCGCAGGCTTGGTGGGGTTCAGGCAACTGGCGAGGCAATTTCCAGATCTGATGAAGCTCGGTGAATACTTGTAGGCCCACTGGATGTCTTAATTATCGAGGGTTGGTGTATGGGCTTTCAAGCAGTCGAGGATCCTGTTCTTGGGATGAGGTTTGCTGCATGCATAATTTATGCACTTAAGTGATTATCGATTTTAATGAGCACACTGTGCACTAGTGCAAACATGAAGGCTGTAAACGAGGAATTACGGGCTTTCAACAAGTTTTACGAGGAGCTGGACGCTTTAATCGTTATTCAGATCGACAATTTGGACTGGATTTACGAGTATTTTTTGCTGGCATTATATCTAGACGTTTCATATTAATACATTTCTTGTGCGAGTAGTTGGCGTGAGCAGCCAGAGCAGCTTCTACGGGAAGCCGGGAAACCAGCAATGACTTCGGATGAAGTACGCGATTTCGTGGACCGCTTTATGCCGGCGTACAAAACATACCTGAAGACATTGTACGCCGATCCGAAGGAATTAATATCACCTTTGGCTACGATTCCTCGTCTCATGTTCTCCATCAACTCGGCGCGTGAACCTGTGGTGCGGCCTGTGGAATTTAACATTACATCTGATACACTGAGATATTAGTTCCGATTTGTTCCGAAAAGATTACTTGACGATGAAATTTCTGTTTTGCACAAACAATTAATATGATAGTTTTGCACTTTCCTTTCCCACCTTCCATCACTTTTGGTAGCGCTTCTTGCACACTAGAGACCATGGAGCGGTACCAAAAGCTTGAAAAAATTGGCGAAGGCACGTATGGCGTGGTGTACAAGGCTAAGGACCGTGTGACGGGTGAGGTGATTGCACTAAAGAAAATTCGATTGGAGGCTGAAGACGAGGGCATTCCCAGCACAGCCATTCGCGAGATTTCATTGCTCAAGGAGCTCCAGCATTGCAACATTGTGCGCCTGTACAACATTGTGCACACAGAGCGCAAGCTCACGCTTGTGTTTGAGTACCTAGACCAGGATTTAAAGAAATACCTGGATGTATGCGAGAAAGGACTGGAAAAGCCTATCCTTAAGTCCTTCCTGTACCAGTTACTGCGCGGTATTGCTTACTGCCACCAGCATCGCGTTTTGCATCGGTGCGTTATCCTGCTTTGTGGCAAGATTTTAGAAATTAAAAGTTCTGGCATTTCGCATCGTGTCTAAGACAAAAAGCACTAACTATATTGTCGCTATGGTGTAGTGACTTAAAGCCGCAAAACTTGCTAATAAATCGGGAGGGCGAGCTCAAACTCGGCGACTTTGGTCTCGCGCGTGCCTTCGGCATTCCAGTACGAAGCTACACACATGAGGTTGTGACGCTTTGGTATCGCGCACCTGATGTTCTGATGGGGTCTCGGTACGACTTTCAATTGTCTTTTATTTTTTGGCGTTACTTATGTAAACTTTGCATTTGCCTCGCTCAATAGAAAATATTCAACGCCTGTAGATATCTGGAGCGTGGGCTGCATTTTTGCTGAGATGGCCAACGGTGGTCCTCTGTTCGCAGGCACGTCGGAAGCGGACCAGCTCGACCGCATATTCCGCCTTTTAGGTACACCCACGGTTGATATCTATCCAGCTATCGTTGATCTGCCGGATTATAGAGTGAGATTTTATTGAGCCCCTTTATTTACCTTATGAAGACCGATTAAACCGTGTTTTGTCAATGTGTCTATCATAGCGAGATTTTTCTGTGTACCCAACGCCAGAAACCTTGGCACACCTCGTTCCGAGTTTAGACGCGGATGGCGTGGACTTGCTGGAGCAGATGCTGCAGTACGACCCCGTCAAGCGTGTTACCGCGGCTGATGCGATGGGTCACCCGTATTTTAGTGATTTGTCTCCAGCACTTACTGAGAATCAATAAGATTTAGAACCCGCGTATTAGAAAGAAATTGTGCAAGTCTAGGAATAAGCCATTCTCGCTTTACCGATGAAATATAAAATTGAGTTTTCAAGTGTCCAATGACTGATTTTACGATTACAAATTCTGGGTGTCCCGCATCTGAAGAGACACCTAAACTGAATCGATGAAGATACATTTCTGGTACGGAAGACGACTCGGTGGCGTAGTGTGTATCTTGTTGTGGTCAGTTCACGCCGCACAAACTGCAACCGAAGAGAATGATTGGAAAAAGTGTATTCAGAGTGTTCCCAAATCTTTGACCAAATCTCAGCAAGAACATTTGTGCGCTCATGATAGACGGAATCATCATCAGCCAACAATACCTGGAGAATGTGCCAAAGTGGCTCTCGGAGGGAGGCCTGCGAGAGGTGCCTCAAGAGTCGAAACAATACGCGCCGCCTCAATCACACAGCTATGTTCAGGGGTACGTAACATAGGCCCAGCAGAGTGCTGGGCTGTTTTTCCTGCTCGATTTTTTCAGCAAGTGCTTTCTGAGTTTGATTCGTCTATTGCTGAAACAAACGCCGACTCTGGCATTGCATTCACGCCTTTGATAAGAGTTTGCAAGAACGCTCAAGACGACCGCCCTGCTCAATGTTTGCTTTTATGGTTCAAAATGCGTAAAGCTTCAACCAAACACATTGCTCGAGAAGCTCTTGATATTGTGGTTGCACTGTGCAAACGCTTTGATGGACATAAATTCGCTCTTAAGCAGTGCATCAAGCAGGCCTCGCTTCACATGAGAAACAGTGTGGCTTTAGATGCTCCATTTCTCCAGCTTTGCCAATTTATCGGAGATGGCAAAAAATTGCCTGCTATCATGGAATGCGTCTCCAATCTGAAAATCCGAAAAGTCACACCCGAAGTCATTGCCCGTATTTGCTCTAAAGCCTCCGATGTTATAAAGCCTCATACTTGTCTCATAGAAGCGCAACAGAAGCTTCGCTGGATGAGTCAAGATGCCCAATTATCCTTGTGCAAGAGCGCTGTTGTTAAAGCAGCGATTGCCCCCGTTAAATGCGCTATGGAAATCAAGGCTATGCAACAGAGGTTGCTGCCGACCAATGCACCAGTCCCTCAAACAACAGAGTATGGTCTTTTCGCGGCAAATCTATGTCAGAATGCTACAGATACGATGTCTATTATAGCTTGCGTGAGAGATATCTCAGGTGATGCGTTCACCACAGACCAGATTCTTCGACTTTGTACAGCTTCTACAATGTCTTCTCAATTGCTAACCAACGCCGATGCTGCTTCACATTATCCAACGAGATGTGCTACTCAAACTCGGTCGCTCTTACAACGAGCGATGACTTTAACAACTAATAAATCAAGCAGTCTCGGCATGTCTGTATCCGCAGCCGCAGTTTACCTGTGTGCAAATGCCACGTCATATGCACCTATCAAATGTTTGGCGGATACGCAACGTGACCAAGCGCTATCACCTGATCTTCGGGTATTACTTTGCCATAAAGCGACTTCCAATTTTCCGCAGTTATGCTTGTCTTATGATCGAAAATTTGTTAGTGCGCGTCGTTTTGATATCTACGACGCAGTGATTGCATGTCAGCGCACCGACTCACTAGGGCCCGCGAACTGTCTTACTGAACTGTTTCGAGCTACTGTCTCCGTGAGAGGAAAAATTGCCGCTGAGCTATGCAATGGAGCAATGAATGTAGAGCCAGCCCGTTGTTTCATCGCGTTTCCTGCTCATTTTGATGATCAAATGAAGTTGCATCTGTGTAATCAGGCTAAAAGTGCGACTTCTGCATTATGTGCAGATTCTGTCATCAATCGCTTTGCGAATCAGCCACAGTTAAAAGTCTCCCTATGTCGTGGTGCAACCACAGCTGCACCTGCAGCTTGTGCCATCGAAGCCCCCTTCGGCATGGATGGACGAAATGTGGTAGAGCTTTGCCATTCAGCGAAAGGCACTGCACCTGCAATGTGTGCTCAAAAGGTTCCAGTATCATGGAAAATACCTTGGAACTTGGTGGCTCAAGTATGTGCGGATGCCGTTTCTACGACCCCTGGCCGTTGCTTGATGTATCATGTCCAAAAATCTCGAGTGTATCGTCGGGTTCTTGATGACAGTCGTATCAAATCTGAGTGTCGGCATGCTGTGGCAATACCAATAGCTTTAAAATTTGCCAAAGCTTTGTACAATTGTCCCAAACTTCAGCCGATATGTGCCTTGCTGATCGTGGTAAACGCGGTGGACCAGTACGGTGGTGATTTCATCGATAGCGGCAGTCAAGTGAGTGGCACTCATACTGTTTACGTAACTGCTGCATTTACCGACAGTTACGATGAAAGTCACAAGTATGATCAAGACGAGCAGCCAACACTACACGGACGTTTGTATGCCAATATGATTAACGGATCTGCCGTCTTCCGCAATATGTTCTTCACTGGAGCCGGCGTATTCACCCTCACATTTTATGGAAACGAAGGCTTTGCGAAAGAAGTTGTACGCATTACCGTGCACCCGGACTTCGCTGCTGAAGCGTTACAAAATCGTTGCCTTAAGTTGTTCACTCGCTTTCAGTGCAGCACTGCCTTTTCAAAGTATGACTATCAGTCAAGTGAGACTCAAATTTTGCTTTTGCCCCATGGGCTTCAAATAAGCGCGATCGCGTGTGGACATTACTGGAACCATAGTATGGGCGGCCTTGTCTTCAGTGGCTATGCAGCTCACAACCACGTGCTCTACGCTATTCCTCGTCGAATTTACGAACTCTTCACGTACGCATTCTTATCGAATTTAGCACTTCACCCGCACTAAATTACAATGATATGAACAGAAGCGTGGACATTCCTCGAGCTGGCATGAGCGCTTGGGCGCTCTTAGGACTCCGTGAAGGCGAAAACGGCCGCACCGTCATCCGCCGAGCTTACCACCAGCGATCACTGCAGTGGCATCCAGATAAGTGGAACGCTTTGGTAGCCACTTTGCCTTCTGTATGGCAACGAAGATTCCGCGATGGTTATGCTCTCATTACGCAGGCTTATGACCAGATGCTAAGAAATAAAACAAACTGATTCATTTTTTACATTAGCTAACCACATTATTCGAATTGAATTTGTTATGCAGGAAACACTGGTGGCAATTTTGCGCGGAATTCGGAATGGCTCACTCTACGGCACCAAAGTGCGCGCTCCGCATGGTGCGTTAGTCCTGCTGCCTTATTCGCAGTATAATCTTGATGACAATTGCTCTCATTTCCCCTTGTAAGCAATGGTAATGATCTTTCTTTTCCATAACGGATCCTTTCGCAAGAAGATTCGCGATATCGTGCATCTCACCTTTGAACACAGCAAAAATCTGGCCCTTTTTGTGGGCGCCTATAAATCTGTGCTAGCAGCGTTGCGTGTGCACCAGGAGTATGTGATCGGGCAACGCGTGGTAACGAGTGTTGGCAAACCTG